CGGCCGTTAGACACGCGGTAGCATGCGGAGGTGCTGGCGGCAGCGGGTTAGCGGGTGCCGGGATGGTCTCTGAGAAGATGAAGGCGCGGACTTCTTCAGCGATATGTTCGGCGTGTAAGAGGCGGTCATAGAAGTGCTTAACAGTGCATTGATGATATAGAGATAGTGAGGGGGTCATGAGGGCAGCGGAGACGGTCTGGTGGTGCCAGGTGTTGAGGCGGCCTAGATAGTCGGTGAGGATTGTGTTGCGGTGGATGGAGGTAATATCAGTGGCGTCCATGGCAGCGCAGTACAGATCTGCTATGTGCGATATCTGTATCCAGCGGGTGAAGTGCCTGTCGGTTGGTGCGATGCCGGGGGTGGTAATAGAGGCTGTCTCGAAGTATTCGATGCACTCACCTATGTACCGTGTGAATGGCAATAAGCAGGGGCGGCGTAGAAGGCGTGAACTGCTGTTTAATTATTAGTTCGATTTGCTCTATCATGAATTGACAGAATTGTGAACAAACTTTGAGCACAGAAAGTAACAAGATAAAAGCGCCCTTCTAGACTCGGGCAGCGTCGAGTCACTATGAGCCCCCCAGATCAGGAACCTCCAGCCCGTGCTGACTGGGAACTGCTCATTCAACTGCTGCTCTACCTGTGCGGCCGAATCCTGTGGCGGTGGCACTCTCTTAATCCCATGGGGCTTTGTGAGCGCAATATCATGTACCATGACAGCCGCCATGTGTATAAACTGGTTGATGTTATTACCGCCATATGTATCTGGGGGGTAATACCACAACACTGATATAGTAAGGGCCTGCACAAGCTCCAACGACTTTACGCCGCGGCGGATGATCTGCTCGCAGTAGTTATCGAGAAGCTCCTGCTGTAGCGCGCTCTGTAGATTAACGCCGAACGTTGAGGAGGAGGCGGCAAGAATAGCGAGAAACACCGTGGGTTTTTGGCGGCGGGTATCGTCAGATGTGGCGGAGGGCAAGACAACGCCGGGAAAGACTGGCGATATAGTGTTGATATAGTGAGCATAGATACGGTCTGCGAGCTCGATGCTGATTATGCCACGGTCTATGACATCCCTCTTCAGATACTTGACGGGGTCAATGGCAGGAGGAGGGTGGGGTAGTGGTGCTGGAGGGTGCACAACCAGGGCAGGAGGAGCGTCATTAGAAGTGGTCTTTCCTGATGCACCAATTCCTGTGCCCTTCTCCACTGCGTCGAGACGTTCCGTCAGCTTCTCGACCTTGCTCTCCAGCTCAAGTACCCGCGAGTCTGTGGTCTTCCTCCGCTTTCGCGAGTATGAGTTGCTCACACACTCCCTGCCGGCTTTGAGGCAGCGGCCACATGGACGCGACGGGTCGTTGGAGTCAATGTCGCAGCGGACCTTGTGCAGACGGCAGTACTCGCAGGCTCTAGCGGGCCGTTGGGTGTTATTGGTGGTGGTGCTGTTAGCTGTAGGGCTAGGGTCCGTCCCGGAGGGGGAGTGTGAGCCTCCGGGGGAGAGGTGGTCGTAGTCCATCATGTGGGAGAAGATTGGAGTGATGTGAATGAGAAGTTGGCATCGCCTTTCTGTGCATGCAATCAATGGGACGCATAGGGTATATGCTGGTAGATAAAGTCAGGAGGTGAATCTATTAATATGTGCCGGTATCCTTGTCTGTACTGTCCATTATCTTGCTGTACCAGCGCCCCGGGGGGGGGGGGGGGGGGGTGCTGAATGCATTATATTATCGCAATGTGACTAATCGTTGAGGCCCTATTGATCAATCGAAGAAGAAAAACAGTTGAGGGGGGATAAAATAACTTCTAGAAGATGATATTGATGATGATGATGATGATGATGATGATAAGTCAAGAAGGGGTCTGCAGAAGTCTCTATACTGAATGCAGTCCTCTCTGGCTGGTAGCAGCAGTAGATGGAGTGCTTAGTAGCTTAGTTCCGGTCCCGTTTACTTGCTATCTGCTGCCATGCGCCATGTATCCCAGAACAAAGAACAGCACGATGCGAACGGTTCTCGCACTGACATGTATAGCGCGAGGTAAGAAGTGAATGAATAATCTCCGAGAATTAGGGAAGTGCGTTTCTTGCATGTTAAGAATTGACTTATCAGCTCAAAATTAAATTATTATTCCTCTAGCATGAGCTATGTTGATTTTATTGTGTTGAGTTGCCAAAAAACACGCCAAGACCACATATTTGTATGGGATGTAGCCGAATCTCCAAATTGCTTTACTTCTAGCTTTATATCTGACCTGAGAGAGTGCCCTTTTAGATATATTAAATTTGGTACTCAAAGTCTTACTCTATAAAGCCTCGTTGTTCCTGATCGCAATTGGGATGTGTGTTTTCGTTCTGTTTTAGCTAATTTTGCTGTATTTCTGGGGAGCACCCTATTGCCAAGCTAGACGTTTCTATTTACTATGGGCTGTGCAATTCTTCTGGGCGTTCTAATTTGCTTTTTGTCACCAAATCGACTTCAAGCGGCGTCGTTCGATCTAGGCCTCAAGCTGCTCTACATACCGTAACTACTCCACATCGTATGTATTTATCTCTTAGACAATGGTCATAATGGTCATGCAGACGTCTCTTCAATACAAATAATTATCTGCTATCCTCTCCTCAGCTAAGTTGAACAGCGTCTACAACAAAATAGGACTGTCAATTGCAGAGCACAACCTAGCATATTTCCTATATATTCCCTCGATCACATTTCCCTCCCCCGATCTCAACGGCTGTCCCTCCTCGAGCAAAAGTGCAAATTCGCTAAACACAATCACCGGCCTCGCCAAAAGACAGGCCAAGCTAGATACAGTCTGTCAGGTTGTTAAAAATTAAATTTCTGCTTGTTAATGGAACCAGCCAGGTATTCTCTGAGCCTACATGTAATCACCCCTCCCTGGCTGTTCCCCTGAGCATGGGTGTGCTACAAAGAGAAATCTTCCGACTACCAGAGGAATATACTCTATAAAAGCTACATTTATATATTGGCAATGCTGTGCCCCCGATGCTAGAGAAGATAAGCCTTCTTTGTTCGACCCGTCAGTCTGTCTGCCGGTAGAGACTATTATCTTGCCTATTTTTGAATAGTAATCAGTGATTTTTCTTAATTACCCCATTTCACTCGTTATCATGGCAGCTGATACAGCTACAGCCGTAACTGCCACCCCCAGTACTATTGCTGATCATGAGGTTGAGGCTTTGATGCGTAAGTACCTCTATAATAGTTCACTACCTTTTACCAACTACATAACTAACATTCACAACTAGACGCAACCATCAACTGGTACCAATACGATCCGTCATTACCCACTGCTATTGTCGGTGCAATCCTATTCGGGGCCGTGGGCTTCGTGACTCTATTCCTGTTTTTCCAGAAACGATGTTGGTTCTGGTGGCCGCTGGTACTGGGGACAATGAGTGAGTTTTCTTCTCACTATTCTAACATGAATGGGTTACTTGGAAAGGTTCTGGATGGCTAATTTAGTGGGCATATAAAGTGGAAATGGCGGGTTATATTGCCCGTGCGCCATCCTCGAAATATACCGATCATAAAAGCATGTACATCGTACAGCTAGTCATGATCATGTAATTGCCCTTTCTTATAATAATGCCTAAATACATACATGTATACTAACAAACCCCCCACAGCCTCGCCCCCGGAATGTAAGTCCCCAACCTCTCCCATCTCCCACACAAACTAACGCCCTCCAGCATGGCCGCCGCCTGCTACATGGCAATGGGCCGCCTCATCCTGCATCTCACGCCTCCCAGCCACCTCCGCTTCCGCACCCTCTGGGTCCCCGCACGCTTTATCACCCCCACCTTCGTGTTCTTCGACATCCTCTCCTTCGGCATCCAACTGATCGGAGCCTCCGTGATCGCTTCCGCATCCATCACAGACTTCAAGCGCGCCCAGCGCGGCAGCCGCATCGTCGAGATCGGGCTCGCCGTGCAGCTTGTGTGCTTCGGCTTCTTTTCCTTTGTGGCGGCGAGATTTTCGTTTGTGGCAAAGAGGTGGGAGAGTACTTGGCCGGGTCGGGAGTGGTTGAGGTTGTTGTATGCGATAAATGCGGCTTGTGCGATTATCTTGGTGAGTGATTTCTCTGTGTGTTGTGGAGCGGGGGTGAAGGAGATTGCTGATGGGTGCGGGGAGTAGTTGAGAAGTACATACAGGATGGTGGAGTTTGCGGGAGGCAGGCAGGGGTATGTCAGGACACATGAGTGGCCGTTTTGGGTCTTTGACTCGTTCTTTATATGGTGTATGTTGATCTTCTTTCTTCTCTTCCTTTGTTGCTGCGAAGATCACTGGCAGCTAATAACCATGCAACTAGGCGTGCTGGTAATCTTCATAATCATCTATCCGGTAGATTACCTCCCGAATGTTGGGCTGCGCAAGACCGTCATAAAGCGGGCCGATATTGAGGGTACCGGAGGCCATGAGATGTTGAGCTCGCGGACCTCGGTAGCTAACTAGAGCTATATTGACTAACTACAGGTGGGGGGTTTATATTTTAACTCGTAATTTTCTTTCTCAGGATTTTCCTATATATGTACATAGTGGTTAATATGACACTGCCAATGGCTTTTGGGCTGTTGTGTGGCAACGCGTAGAAGAGTGACCGGAATTTACATCATAAGTTATCACTCGGTCACATCCACCATCCCCGAACTCTGAAGCATGCACTTAGCTTCATGTCTGGAGTGAGTAGCGAGCATCTAAGACTGCTTTTCGCTTCTCTAAATTACTCGGCATGTTATGCCGTAGATGTGGTGCTAGCTACATGTAATGTAAGGTATATGTGTATATGTATGGGTGTGCGCGCGTGGGGGGATTTATTTCAGACGGAACTATTAGCCATGCTTGCTGTCCGGGCAGAGAGCCACGCCTACTAACCCACATGTATGTAGCCGCCTCACCATCTTTAGGACTCCAACCCGACAACCAGATAACAAGCATAGCCAAGCTTGACAAAAGTTAGCCAGACGCGTAATCCAGCAAGCTCCGGTAGTGTAATGGTAGCACACCCGTCGGTTGATGCAACAAATAGATGCTGACTGGGTAGCCTGAGGTTCGATCCCTCTCCGGAGCGTCATTCATTATATTTTTTTATGCTAGTTAGGGCTACCGCGGATTTAATTAAGGGTTCTTTTTGAAGGTTGTTTTGAATGCCTATTTTAAGGGGGAAGAAAATTTATGATTTTATTGTGCCCCCCCCCCGTGTCGGACACTACCGGGTACTCAAGTCCGGGCATGAAATCATTAGAAGTTCTTAAATCCGGCTCTTCCAGTGGATGTGGATATCAGATTCTGTATTTTCTGCTTACATGAAGCCGCCAGTTTCGTGCTAAACTATCATTTCCAACCGACCTGTCCTGCCCTCCCTACCAACACCCGGATTCCACCACAACCCACGACACCCGGTATACACCGCGGACTAGGACTTTTTTTTTTGTTTATTCACGCCGCTCACCGTCTTTAATTCCACCCGACGCATGAGCGACAATTCCCGGTATGGCGAGGACCATGACATCATGCGCTTGTCTGGTTGATCGACGGTCCGGACTCTCATTGAATGGGGAGACGCAATATGCGTATACACTTAGTGCCAAGGGGAAGTTGATAACTGGGCTTGAAAAAAGGTTCAAGGAAGACATGGTGGGGACCTATCCATGTAGGCAGGTCGCGCTGTGTTTCGGCCCGGCGCTCAATACAAAGAAAGATAATGACCTCATTTACGGACCGGCATATAAAAGTAACGACGTTCTCCCACGATTGGCGTGTGTAAACACAATGTACTTACCTGGAGATATATATCATGCAGTAACTATCAAACCGTGTAGTTTTTCCTAGCCGGCCTTTCCCCTAGATGTAAATATCCAACGGGGCCCTCCCTTGGTGCGGCTGTTTACGACACATTCGATTCACGGATGCTCTAGTCCGGTCTTCTTCAAATCAATGTACTTGGAGCAAGAGGATACTTAATCGTTGGGTATCCATCTACAGATAGCGGTATCTATTCCCACTGACAAACAAGGGAAACAAAGGAGGCATTTCTACATACCACCCATCTACCCATCTCTAATACCCTTTAGTCTTCTTCACCTTCCCCTTACTACCCCCCTCTTCACCCTCCCCCTTCTTCCTCTCCCGCTCTGTCAACAGCCACTTCTTCCTCATCTCCAACAACCCAAACTTCTTCTTCATCCCATAATCCTACCCCCACAATCAGCACTTCCCCCTCTCTCTCCCTCACGCTTTCCCCCTCCTCCATCCCCCTCAGGAAGAAAAACACTTACAAAAGCCCCCTTCCACAAAAACGTGCTCACAAACCATGCCATCTTCGCAAAGTGCCCGCGCCAGTACCACAGAGGCTTACGCCAATCAGGCTTCATGACCTGACGCACGACGGCGCGCGCATAGTCTGTTGCCGATTGAGCGTTGACCTGGGAGTTGCTGGCACGCGCTCGGAAGTGGGAGAGGATTGGGAGGTATAGTGATGCTACTTTCGCTGTTAATAAAGAAGTGTCAGAGGGAAAGGGGGGGGGGGGGGGGGGGCTGACTGGAAGGTAGAAAAGAATGGGCTATCGAGTGTCGCGCGACGTTGGAACTAATGCCACCGGTGATGACCTACTAGCTATCAGCATCCACTCCCCGTCATAGTGCAGCTAAACGTACTGTTATAACTTTCACCCTACCGCCAAACCCCCGTCAGCCATATCCAATACAGACAAAATCAGCAAATGCACTACTACATACCCAAATGGCGCCAACTCGACCCTCAAGCAGTCCGCGTAACTATGCAATGCGGCCTTACTCGCGCCATACGCACTCCCAAACACATACGGCATGATGCCCGCAATCGAGCCCACATTCACTATCGTCCCGCCACCCTCCGCCGCGATCAGCAGCGTTACAAACTCCTGTACCATGCGCATCACGCCGAAGAGGTTGGTCTCGAACATATCTTTGACAACCGTGTCGACCTCGAGGTCCGTTGCTGCTGCTATGCGGGAGTAGCCTCTGGATTTCGAGCGCTCTGGTTAGCCCACTGAGCAAGAGGGAATTGGAGGAGGGGTGATACGCGTTATTAACAAGTACATCCAAACTTCCGCCAGTACGTAGGGCGATCTCGTCGCGGACAGACTGGATGTTTGCGGTGCATGTTACGTCGAGCTGGAGGATCTCGATACCGAAAGCGTCTTCGAGCTCGATGACGGTTTCGAGGCGGCGGGCGGTAGCGAACACACGGTATCCTACGCACACATGTCAGATATATGTAGCTATAGGTAGACTGGGCTAAGACGTGGGGTATAATGCGATTATGAATGATACCTTTTCTGTGGAACTCCTTAGCCAGCTCTCCACCGATTCCGCCCACGCCAGCTCTAGTATGTAGTTACGTTAGCATTCGCCCACACAGAAAAGAGCAGCTAAATAAAACACACACCCAGTAATAAGGACCGTTTTACGGTCATCCACCGATTCGCCAAGTGTGGAGGGCATTATGAGTGGTTGTTTGATATTGGGGAGTTTTTGTTTTTGTAGATCTACTCTGGGTACGTTTGGCTGATGAGCTCACCCCCCGCTGCGATAAGGATCAGCCCTATCCTATCAGACGAGCCATGGCCAATGATTGACAAGGGTGCTCGTTACCCGGGCGTGGCGTCAGGGCCTGTCACTCGGCATGCGCATCTGCGCAGTGAAGCTTCTCAAGCAAGTGTTTACCCCCGCTTCATTTGTTCGGGATCTGTATGCACAAATTCAAAATAAGCGGCTTATGCATGTAGTCGAAACAATAGCACCAATGCCAAAATGTAGATTAGGCGACGTGTTTGATAATCCAATCGACCTTGGCCAGATCAGTGACTTGAATTTCGCAAGCAATAACAATTATTGTTTTCATCACATTTATTCAAGACTAGGAACGAAGAAACTTCTCCTTCATTTGGATGCATAGAAGTGATAACTCGATCGATATCGATATCTACACACATTTTTGAAGCGAAACAAGAGTTCATAGATTTTGTCCTATATGGATCCCAAGATCAAAGCTCAAGCTCGATTCACGACCGAGAGTATATGTATATAAACCCGATGATAGTATGATAGTATATATCATCATGAAGATGAAATGAAAAGCGAGACACAAAAGAAATAATCAACATGACATGCTATATGTACCTACAAGTAGGGACACGGTACTCGATGCGACCTGTCCTCTGGACCTTGGTTATCTTTTTACTGCATTGCCGCAATTGAGTCAATCAACCTGCCTAGACCACAATGAGCGAGACTACATGTGTGCAAATTCAAGCAATCTCCATTTATATCACCACTCACAAAGGAACCCTTGTTTATGGCGTACTGAAGCGTGCCTGTATTCAGCTCCTCAGTGTGATATATACTATAGAGAAACTACATGTAAGCTAGTTATTCGTGGGGTACCCGGATACTACCCCGAAGGAAATCAACAGATGCACTGTTATTCTCTTAAATTCAGTGTTTATGATCTAAATCTCGTTGAGTAAATTTAAATCCTGTCAAGTGAAGTTAGCTGATATTGACAATTACATGATCATCATGCCCGTTATGCCTATAGATGGTCGGTCACTCCTATACATAGCAAATGAAAGGTATTATATTCAAGATAATTTTGTCTGTAAAACCAGCCGTGACACCGTATATCGCCTATCCCTTGGACGGATGAAACTTGCAAATTCGCGACCTGGGCCGTGCACGCCCTTAGTAAGGCAGTTGCCCTTCTTTTTGCAGGTGATAACAATAATTGAGCCAATGAAAGATCAGCTATAGTTACCACACATAAGGCTAGTGATAGCTGGAAGAGGGAAGTCGCGAATCTGCAGGTTTCATCCGTCCAAGGGATAGTAATGTGGATTGTTAAAATAATGGGACGGGAATAATTATATAAACACCGCAACGACAGGCCACCAAATTAAACCCCGCCACCAACGAACGGCGATACAGGGTGAAAATATGTTTAGGGCCTTCTTATATTCCTTATTATCATTTGCCGTATTTATGGCCTGTTTATGGTTGATTGTTGCGTCCCATTAATTTTGACAAGTCGCAATACTTATATCTATGATACATGTACCCCTGGGTACATGTAGCGATGTCCTACCGACCGACGCCGCTGTGATTGTAACCCTCCTAGTAACTTTGTATCCCTGTGTGTATAAACGGCTTATTTAACCATTTAATTGATGGAGCCCAGCGCAGCCCCCGCTGCACTCGAGGAGCTAACCCTTTCTCATCAGCCCAGGCCCGGGGTTAAGGGAGATAACTGTTATAATGGGTCCTTGTTTCCGTGCTTACTATTGGATCGTGACTCGTAATTACATATAAATATACTACTAGGTATCGCAGCTTGAGATGTCAATAGGGAAAGCACGGATAGAGATAATGGTTGCTTGTGATGTTTCAGATGAGCTATATATGGTGTATTCATGAGTAGTGATACCGACAGTACCGTACTCTACCACGTCGATTGCTCGTAGGGATCCTTGATATAGAGTGGACGGAAGATTTGGCAAATCAAGGTAAAGAGATAACATGATGGAGCTATCAGGCTAGGTTCGTGGGGCAAATTATATTCAGCATAACTGCACCACATACATGTATGTACATGTGTTTAAGCTTTAACTTTCCGTTAGCGAAAATCAAAAGTAATAGTAATGATATGGCTTTTGTATTATGAGGAGGAGACGTCGTTTGTTTCACATGGTACCAGCACACGTTAGTTGGTCTGAGAAGTATTTGCCCGAGATTTATCGGGCACAGAACATGCGTGCACACATTATCACTCGTGGCCTCCTAATGCGCACGTCCATTATATATGTACATCATGAGCAATCATTCGACCGCATCCAAATACACGGAAAGACTGGTCTCAACGAGAATTTCATTCTACCTAACTTTCTAATCGAATTCAGAAAATACTTAATGTTTCTAGTAACAAGTCCAGCTCGAAAACCGTGCGGAATAACGAACTTTACCAAATACAGGAAGCCACTACTATTATTCAGCGCCAAGAACACGCAGCCTCTCAAATGCGTGAAATATATACTC